CCTTTGGGTTTTATTCTCTCTATCGGCAGGCTTCGGATAGATAAAAAAAACGAAATTTATTTTCAGCCATTTCGTTTTATACAAGAAAACCTGCAAACAACTGAATGTGAAAACACTCTTTTTCTTGAATAACTATAGTTTAACTATAGGTATACCAGCGAACATATAGGGCTCTGGAATGAAATGTGATTAGTATGTATTCTTATTAAAGAAAGGGAAAAGTTTATATAGAGCTGAGGCTCTAAACAATCAAATTAGAGCTTACCTCAAAATTTTCACTAGAAGATGTTGTTTTGATGCTCAAATATTATCAAATTAATCATTTTGACATAAAGATGCATGGACATGAGAAAAAAAATGGATTACAAATTTTGGAAATGGTGTATTTTGTAACGCATTTTTGGATCGCCAATTTTTAAGATTTTCAAGTTTTCATAGATTTGTCGATTTATACTAATTTTGAAGCTTTAAATTTTATAAATAAAGATAAAAATATATTTGAAGGCTATCACAAAGATTTCCAGTATTGAAACTACATTTCTCGACAATATTTGAAGGTAGGCTCTAATTTGATTGTTTAGAGCCTAGGCTATATACAAATCGCACCCTTTATATTGTTTTAGATTAACCATGTTAAAAAAGAAAAAATGAATTTGAATTTGTAAAGGCATAGATATTGAAATTCATCAAATAGATGGTCTAGATTCATTGTTGGAGGGAATTCATTTTAGCCATATTTAGGGTGTAAATTGAATTTTATTTTTATTGAGATTTATTATTGGGATGAAGAGAGTGTGTGTGCAACATTTGGGGTCAAATAAATTGCCATAAATATGATTTTTTTATAAATATGGTTTCATTATATTACATTGATATCATTATATATTGTCTTATCGCTTATTGGTGCCACACTTAAATATTTTCAAATGTATTCATTTCAAATTCTATCCCTATTTATCTTGCTACTCATTAATCTCAACATCATCATCTCCGCTATATTTATTCTATGAATATATTTGATTTTTTATATCTTGATCCATGTTCAACTTGACTTAACAATCGAGTCCATGTCTAATTGACCTAGATTCCTTGCTGCGACCTATTTCAGGCCCTTCTCCATGGGATCATTGAAATCTTGTGCAGAAAGTGACATAGAAATTTGCTAGAGAGCTCCAAATGTTAAAAATTAAGGTAAAATGTAATGAGACTACTTAATCATGCATTAGTGATGAGACTTTTCTAGAAAGTCTTCAATATTAATTGTGCGAGAAGAAAACAGGGTTACCAAAAAAGGCCACAACTCTTCTTTAACTCCTATTGAGAGTTGGGGAGGAGATTAAAAAGGGTGAAAGAGTGGATAGATGAACATGTCCTGCTTCTGCAACGCATGTCTCATAATTTTTCATAATTTTTATTTTCAATTGATAAATATTATTTTTACCCAAAAGATTTTCTGCTCTATACTATCAATATACTCCATCAGGCAAAATCCATGCTAGGACACTTTTTAGATCTCAGATTTTGAGGGTGTAATCTCTAGCTCTCATATAATAATCTCAACATAAAAAGTTTCAGAAGTGAACGCTCTATATACTAGAAAAACTACTGTCTTGAGATTAAATAAAGACTTTTCAATTTTTGAAGGGGTAGATTTAAGTGTCACAAACCTCAAAATTCAAAATTTTCTTTTAAAAATAATCATCTAGTAATTTTTATATGGTTATCAAATTTTTAGACTAAAAAATCAACATAGCTAGGTGTTTTGACGAAGGGAGTAGATGTGCAATATGCTCCCACAGAAGCCTAATTTATGCACTCTTATTTTTAATATAAAAAATTTAATTAAAAAATTATCATCATCCTTAATGATAATGGAAAGTAGAAAATTAAGGCCATGTTTGGGTGTAGATCATTTTTTTTTTTTTGTATAATTCAGTAGGAAAGACCCCTGGCTATTTTTTCTAGTAGATTAGGAGTTAGCATTTTAAAGGTATTTGTGAGATGGTGTTAGCGGTGGGAATAGAAACCACAACTTAGTGATTAGGGTATGGAGTGCTACCATCACGACCCTAGCCCCAAAAGGAGCTAAGTCAATGGGGATGTGGGCCCCTACCCTTTAGTGAGAATGGAGTGAGAGACTTCTTATAAGGTAAGTTAGTAAGAATTTGGGCTCCTACCCTTTGCTGAAAATGGAGTCAGAGAATTCATCATAAATAGAAAATTGACGGTTTAGATGATACATTACAAGATGCACTATTTTCAAGATTTAAAAGCTATTTTTATTACATCCATACATCTTGAGGTCGAGATGATCAAATTGAAGATTTTTCAACATTAAAAGAATATTTTCTAATGAATTTTTGAGTTCCACCTTAATTTGATTGTTTAAGGCCTTACCCTTATATATACTTTTTCATTGTATTATAAAGCTCGGCCTAGACCTTATACATACTTTTTCCATGAGTTTAAGGAGCTCGTTTCCATACGGCCAAGCTGCATATGTAGAAATGTGGACATATTATTGAGAAGGATTTAAGACTTAACTTTTAAGGATACGTAATCTCTAACATGGAGATCATGAATATAAATAAATAAATAAATTTAAAAAACTAGAAAAAATAATTCTAGTAAAAAAACATTTGGACCGTTAGTTTCCATTGTTTTTAGATGAAACACCTATGTGCATCCATCTTTAAGATGGACGTTTTACACTTTTTGGACTGCGTATGTAGAAATACAGTCCAACCCGCATGAAACAATTTTCCTTAATTTAATGGACTATACAAGGTACAAAGAAACGAAAATCTCATGTGTCATCATCATCTTTCAAATATTGGGAAGTGAGGGAGGAAATTAGGTCCAAAATTTGGAATGAAACGGTGAAATGTGCCAAAACATACGACACATAATAAACCTGCCTAAAATAGGTTTGTGTATTGCATTCCCTGATTTGGTCCACATTTTAGCTGGAAAATCCAAATTACAGGCAATTGTTTGCTGTCGTCTGAACAATTTCCTCTTTCAAACCAAGGTCAATGCATATTTTGCTTTTTTTGGGTAATACAGCGGTAGGATTCAACCAACCCATTAAGCAACGAAATTTATTGTTGTCGCCAACGAATTAAATAACTTCTCTTTCTCCTCTCTGTTGAATAACTTTCATTGAATTAATCTTAAAAAAGCTAATGAAAAGGGAGAAAGAAATGAAGAGAGAACCAAACAATTCATGTAAATTTTTTTCTATAAAACTTTATTTCCTAAGGATATATAAGGATCTCACACATGGCTTTCTTAAGATCAAGTGGCCATTACGCTCATGTACCTTTGTGCTAGTTTAAATGGGCCGGTAAAACATGAGCGCCTAGAATCCATTGTGATCACTCACTCCATCGATAGATTCCTTCTTCTGCAACTAATCACATGCACTTGCTCCGACATTGCCTCCAATCTCTCTCGTCCAAATATATGCGTCGAAAGAGAATTTAGCAACTCTTTCCCACTCCATAGAAGAGTGTAGACCCAAATTAAGTTGGTGAGAATTGGAAGCGAAAAGAGTCGCCCTTTTTTATCGTCATCTTTAGACTGGCAGTGGAGGTTTACGCTCCTCTCTCCTCCAAGCCTGTTTCTAATTTGAATCTCAATCTTTGCTGCAATATGATTGATGGAGCATAGTATGAATATGGTGATCATCATGAGCTTATACCTCACGACAAAGGTGATCCATGGCTGAGTGAGCTCAGTTTCTTTCTCTTCTTCTTGATTTTTCTTTCTTGTATGTTACTGTAATTAAATAAGTTAGTAGGATGGAGTTCGGAGCATTATAAAAACAGGAATGGTTAGATATTATATGTCTGGTTTCATATGGCTCGTGTTTAGCGATATTTTAGACTTCTTGTGGGCATGCATTTTTATTTTTGGAAAATGGTTTCATAGGGCTGCAGCCCTATTGAACTAAGCAAAGCCTCATCTCATAACTCATCAAAAATTACGACTCAAGTATTGGAAAACCTTTACATGGATCATATTGGAAAACCTTTACATGGATCATATAGGTTTGAACGCTATGGTTGTGGAAGAAAATTAGGATTCTAAGCTCCAAAAATAGTGTATATTGTAACAAATTATCTAGACCATCCATTTAACCCTAAAAATAAGTGTTTATAGATTTACAAGTTTTGTAACATTTTTTGAGTTCCAAATTTTATTGTTGATGTTGGAAATTGATGTTAGATCAATAGAGATTTGGATTGCCAAAAGTGCTCTTCGGACCAGGATTCGAGACGTGGCTTTGTTTTGTTTTCATAAAGCCTAAGCCTTATAGAAACTTCATCATTTATTTTTCCCTTCTTTTTTTGTATTTTTAACAGTGGTCCTCGTTTATGAATCCAGCCCCCAATCCACATAGAGAGAAACAACCCAAAATAAACCTAATCTCTTCAGCTAGCATTGTATTGTTATATTTTAAGTGAGGCATTCCTGTGAGAGAGAGAGAGAGAGAGAGAGAGAGAGAGCAGTAATTGAAAAACACATGATGGTGAGAGAGAGAGCAGCAATTGAAAAATAAATGATGGTGACAAACAATGGGTATATGCTCTCGAGGTAATAAAATTTTAGATTCACTTAAAATACACTTTAGAAACACAATATGAGTTCCAGAAATCGAGTAGCAACCATCAAATCCTGTCCTAAGTTAGGAAGTTATTTTAACTTTTTTTTGTTTTGTTTTGGAACATCCATAATGAAAATTTTCTTTTTTTGAAGATAGTGGCCATGGAGAGGTTGGTCACCAGGTTGACGTTGCACCCCTGAAATTGGTGGTCCTAAAAATATATCCAAATAGGTTTCTTGTCCAAAAAGGTCAGGGGGTACACACTCATGGGAGGATAATATCTTTTAACTTCTGGTTTTGAACTTTGGGGTTTTCCTCTCTCTCTCTCCACATGCCACACACCTACAACTACAGTTAACTATAGATATATCAAGAGAACATATAGGGGCTCTGGAACGAAATCTGAATAGTTTATTCTTATTAGAAAATAAGATCCTATGATCCACTTTGAGCATGAGTCTGCAGCCTCAGTTCTTTCGTGCTTCCCTATATCCTCCAATTTATAGAGGAAACTTGTAATCCATGTACAGCATCTTCCAATGCAAAACACCCATCTTCGTTATGAACCTATGTACATTACTCTTCCCTATATTCATTTTTACAAACTCTCACACTTTCCACTTGGAAAAATAATTTGTCTCAGCCCCCAGCCAGGAAAGATAATACCTGTAAAAATTATAATACCTGATGATGCAAGAATCATTATTTCTATAGCTGCAAACCTATAAATTCATCTCAAAAGGGGATCAACTAATCAGTGCACTTGGACATTTCCATCGTTCATAAGAGTGGCATTATAGCATCTTCAAAACTCTGCTTTTCTTTGCTCCATAAACATCCCCACCCTCAGAGAAAGTAAACTACCAGTCCCTGCTTTCAGGTTGCATGTTTTTTATATCACAGTCCCATCCTCGATCGTCGCATTCTTTAGAACCACAGTGATTCCTGATCGGATATAGAAGCCCTCAGTGGGCCTCTCTGCCTCTTGAACGTCCTGTTCAGACGAGCAAGGTAGGAATAGTTCATGTAACAGACCAAATATCCACACCTTATTCACAGAGAGAGAGAGAGAGAGAGAGAGAGAGAGAGAGAGAGCATTGCTTCATGTATAATATCAGGAAAGATACATGCATCAAATTAAATGCCTGAAGAGAGCTTAGTGACAATTATTGTTGATAAATCGAAACTATCTTTATTTTACCATAAAGAATTATATTGCTATCAATTACTCTAAAATATCCTGGTAAAATGAATTATCGCGATATTTTGAGGCATCTCGTATTATGATGATAAGAACCAATCTCGATAATAATGTGTATGTAATAGTAAATCAAAATTAGTGACTATAATTTGAAAAAAAATTTCATTAATCTAAGAATCGCTCTAAAAATATCAATAAGGCAAATGGGGACCATTTTTGCAAGGAATTGATAATAGATATGTAAAGCTATCAAGTTGGATAATGAGTTTTGATTATTATTATTTATATACATTAGAAATTATTGTCAGTTGTCCTTTGTAACATTTTTAACATATGTATGTTTTTTAAAGTGTGTAATTTGAATTCATATTTATTTATCTCAAAAAAATTATTTCATAATAAATAATATCTTCAATTTAATATATTAAAGTCCCAATAGTTATCCAATAAATTCCGGATTAAAAAGACAAACGTGATAACATCCCGGTAATGAGCCCCACAAATAATATTGTTTGATACCGATATTGTCAGTAAGGATAAGAGAGTTGGATTCTAGTAATATTTCAAAATAAATAGATGGAAACAGACAGAAAAACTTACATCTCTATTGGAAATTATAACATTCTTCCCAATCTTGGCATTTTTGTCAATAATGCATTTTCTGCAATCATGGTCAATGTGGCCAGAGTGAGAATAATCAAAACACGTCAACACAAAGCTAAGGAAAAGATGATGTCAGTCCCAACATTGCCACCTGATCTTGGTGTTCTGGCCAACCCCTATAGGAACTTCACCCCTGGCCAGGCAAGCTGCTATTTCAGCTTCAGTTTGGTAGTAATCAGCACCCATCATCATGGTGTCCTGATGTGCATAAACCAAATTTCCATGCAGGGTACAATCAAAATATTATAATTTGTAGAAAGGAGTATACTTACAATCCAGTGGAAAAGATGAATGGTGATGAAGAGGTCATACGGGCTCAGTGGGTCCACTCTCGCCATTGCCATTCACTCATTGAGGGGTGATGAACCCACTGAACCATAACTCTCCATTGTCCATTGTACTATAGAATACTTCCTAAGTTAAAACAAGTCAAAGAATCGAAGGACTTGTCATTCATGTAATTAACAAGATGAAATGAAGGACATATCACTAATTGCACCTTCAATTCTACCCCATATTCCAATCTCGAACGGATGCCCACTATGGCATGTTGGACGCTGCATTCCCGCAAAAAGCATCCATGTGATACAATAGCATCCACAACCTGCACTGAGTTCAACAAAATCATATACCAGGCATACAAATCCACTTAAGGGTGGCATGTGTTACACCAATGGGATGTCCACCTTCCTCCCTAGTGATGGACAATGGAGATTAAATGTACCTGTTTGAATTCATCGATAGGCCCCTCTATGGTTAATCTTAACGGTTAATCTCAACAATCTATAATCAGGAACAAACGGTGGATGTTCCTTTGGAGTAACTAACAACCATACTCCATGTGATTGTCACCATACCCATAAAAATAGGCCTAAACTCAGCAGCAGGATATTTTAAATCTTATAGATTATTACCTGGCATTTTTCCATTTTTGATGGTGGCAGAAACCTTGGAGATGTGAAGATGGGCTTCAAAGGGTCATAAAAGTGAAACTTGGGAGGCTTCAAATACAATAAAAAAAAAAAATACTTCAGATTGCCAAAATTCACAAAAGGAAGAACTGCAATAAACCATATGACATGGAAGAGGCATAAACCTGATCAGTGAGGGCTAAATTTGCCTCAAAGAAAGATTTAATGGTCCCGATATCTTCCCAGTAATCATTGAATAAGTATGCCTGCAAAAAAGAAATTATTTGACTAATTAGAATATATTTTCTTATTGGTTCAATTGTAGGGTATCTTTTATAATTCATAATAGTATGCAGTTGGAAGAAAAAGTGGACACTTTAAAATTAAGATATCTAGGTGGCTGTCAAAGGAAAAATGAAACATTATCCAATGGAGTATGGAATACAGTAATTCCAAAGGGAATCTGACATCTGTTCACCAGGATGGATGATGAAGATCAATAGTATCTGGGTGAATTAATCTGTAGATGCCATTACAGTTAATACACTGTCCTTCACCAGCAACAGATGTTAGATGCCCCTAAGGAGCATTGTGTACTCCAACATTGAGCTTGGATCAAGACGGTAGAGGCTGGGTTTCCATAGCCTAATGTCTCAAGTTCCATTCCTTTGTAACCTTGTCAAAAAAAAATCGACTCGGCCAAGGTACACAGGCCCTGGCCGAGGCGATTTACTCGGGCGAGTCCGAGTAACTTGACTGAGTCCAGCGCAATTTTTTTTAAAAGAAAATGGAGACAAAACAATGATTATATATAATATGAGCGCCATTTTTATCAACGAAATCGTAAACTGGCGTGCCAGTTAGTTCCGTATGTGTAAATGGACCTCTTTACAAGAGGTCTTGTGTTTCATTCCATTGGGGGTTATATTTTTTTGAACTCCAAAAATAATGACACTTCTTAAGAAGTGATGTACAAATGTGGGATTCAAACCCTGATGGCAGACGGGCTAAAATTTATTCCTTGGTACAAACCGGAAAGGCTTTTTAGCACATGTCTTAAAGTTGAGGTATTAATATAACTGAACTAAAAAATATGATATACAACCTGGTCGCCGAAAATTCACCTCGCCTATAGGGCGGGGCCGAGTTACTCGGCTGAGTCGGATTGACCTCGGCCGAGTCTCAGAACACTGATATACACTATTTCAGACTTCAAATTTGGACCAACCTGTACATTATAATCCTTGGCAGCCATGGGAATGATTTCTGATCCAAAGTCATTTGCTGTCGGGTAGTTCCACCTAAACCAACAGAAAGATAAGCATGGATATCACTTGAGGTTCCAAGTCTAACCCTGCTTTGGCTTCCAATAAATAAAAAGACAAAAATGTTTAAATGACTGGTTGACTCCAACTACAGGATAAAGCACTGAAATTACTTCAGGAGCTTCAAGAGGACATCTGTTTTAAACATGTATATCCCCATTGATGCAATGTAAGGGCACATCTTTGCTTCTTTGGGGGACAATCCAAGAAGAGTGGTGTCCACTTGCTGCAATATCAAATAGTTTTCCACTCAGAAGCAACCAATACAACAGTACAACATTAAGGAAGAAAAATAAAATACAAAGCGTAGTAAACAGCAAAGAAAAGAATATGGAAAAGAGATAAGGTCTGATTACCATGGTTATCAGCTCTTCACCCTCAGGCTTTTCACGAAATTCTTGAATTCTTCCTGCCTTGTTGATTTTCACCAAGCCATAATCAGAGGCTCTACTGAAGAAAATGGAGGAAATAGAGCATTAGGTTGCTATGAATGATTAAAGATGAGATCTATCTTTGACAAGCAAAGGACATTCCAAGACACAAATATTTATTTTTTATTTCTTTCACTCAGACAAGAGATTACCAGTCATCCACAGGGATGCAACAAACAGAGATATCAGCATCTGTTTCAAGGTGTTTCTGCACATAGCCAACAAGTTATGGGAGTTCTAAATTTTTATGAAGATCCATTATGACCCTCCAAAATGATAAAGACAATTTGAAGAAGAAATGGTCATATGGAGCAATTAGATCAACCTGCAAAACTTGTGTGTAATCCATTCTATAAAGATGATCACCAGAAAGTATAAGAATGTTTTCAATATGCCTGTTCTTGGCATCCTGAGACAGCCAGAAAAATAAACACAAGAGAACAATGAGAAAGTGATCCGTGCAAATGGTGAGAACTGCATATTGCTGAATGATGGTATCCACAAAGAGGCCACCTCAAAGAGCCATATAAACTGCCTAACAGCATCTGCCGTTCCTTGGAACCACTTCATCCCCGACTCCCCAGGTGTTTGTGTGGCAGCCAAAACCTATTCACGACAAGGAGGAATGCTTGGCATAAGGAAAAAAGTAGGCCTTCAAGGAAAATAAGCAACTCAATCTAAGTTTTAGAAAACTAAACTATCATCAAAAGGACTATGGAAAACCACAATTCACTGGTTACAGTGCCATCTAATGAATGATGGATGATGAATGAGAGAGTAAGGGACCCACCATAGGGGGGGTCTCAGTCTCTTTCTCATCATCTATTATTCCTCTTGGACAATGACAACCTCAATTGACAAAATCGTTTTCCAGAATCCATTGGATTATAGTGTACTTTCCCTTAGGCTTATAAATCTGTTTCACAAATATGTGAAACATACAAATTGCACGGATTACATTACCCTAGCTAGCACAATTTATCACTAAATAATGCCCATATAGGAAATATTAAGCATGTATAATTGGAAAATTACCAATCCAACATACCTCAACGAATCCATTGCCAAAGTTGACGCCGTTCCCAATGTTGTAGGTACGGGAGATATGCCGATTTAAAGATTGAGAATTGAACTGTGTCAAGATGAATATTTTGTTTATACCGCTGTTAATGCAATTGCTCATTGGAACGTCAATAAGCCTATAACAGCCCCCAATTGGTACCTGAAAACCAAGAAAAAAGCAACTTGAGTCAAGACCAAAATTCAAAAGATGAAAACATATGGGACAAGGCTATGCAATTAGATCAAAATCAAGCATCAAAATGGACTTAGAAAACAATAAAAGATTAAAATGAAGAAACAAAATAGAAGTATATATCTACATTCGTTTACTTTATTTTATTTCCAGTGTCCATCTCTATATTGCCTAGACAGGAGTACAAGTTATGTATAGGACATGTGCATGGACATGAGATATGGCAGTTCTCAAAAAAAAAAAAACAGTAAAGTTAACTAGATATTTATCATCAAAAGAAACACCAAACTCTTAATCTGTGTTTCTTCTTTCTTTAAGCTCTTTGTTTCTGAAGAGTCGTTAAGCACCTGTTATACATTTCAATCCTCCTCAACTATTGTTGGATATGAAATATGGACATAATTTTTATCACCAATAAGGATCATTTCCAAGAAATGGTAATGAATAACATCAAAAGATGGCTTACAACCTATATTACAAGGACACAGACGCAAGAGTCTCCGTTTGACTCAGATTCGAACAATCTGACTCAACTACATAAATTTTTCCAAGTCTAGTATGACTGCTCTATATAAGTACGTACAATGTGCGTGCGCGCACACACACACACATATATATATATATATATATATATATATATGTATAGGAAAAGTAGGTAGTTACGCCACTAGCTACATATAGAACATATACGAACCCAACGTACCCAGTATTGTATTCTGGCCGATCTAGACGA